AAGTTGACTTTTGTATCCTTGGTGAAAGTCCAAAAATCCTTGCGGTTAGGATACCTTCTTTCCGATTAGTTGCCGGTAAAGTGACTTTGGTAGTGTTTTTATAGCCTACTTGCAGACACGTACTTAGAGATTATTAGTGTGTTTATTCAATCCGGTTTTTTTTTTTTTTTTATGACATGCAAAAGTATGCTGTAAAAAAATGTATATTTTTGTGGCATACAAAAATATGTTATAAAATATTTGCACTTAAGACAAAATACATTTCATGTTGTAAAATATTAAATTTTATATTTTTTTGAATTTAGTATTTTTTTAGAAAATTTAAAAATATTTTCCTTCTAAGTATATGTAAATTATTTGAATTTAAAAAGTAAAAAAAAAAATTATTTTAAAACTTACGCCACACTCTCTCATTCTAGTTCCATACCTGTTTTATCCCAAACTTTATCATTCTCTAGAGAAATAATATTTTAATTATAAATAATAATAAAAATGTCAGGCCCCACTTTTTATTACTCGAAGCCATTACCAAATTCATTAACTTAATTCAATTTCAGAGATAACATGCGGAAATAAACTCATACATTCAATCCATAGAAATGAATATAAATACTCTCATTCGTATGCAAAGTAAATGTTACATGAACATACTCAATAAATTGCCCTTGGGCTTACAACCTTTAAATAAACAAATGAAGGGGTGTAACCCTTTTACACATATGGTGTTCCGCCAACAACAAAGAGGCCCCGTGGCCAACAAATAAGAAGATCCAAATCCTGTAGCACAACCTGCTAAACACCTGAAAAAGATTCAACAACGTGGGATGAACATAAAGTCTAGTACGGATCTCAACATGATCCTCAACAATAACAACTTACAGATAGCTATGATCATGCACACTCATTCTCGTACTAGAATAGTAATATGACAGTTTATACAAAATATATATATATATATATATATAAACTTTTCTTGAAAACAACCGTTTCATTCAACGCTATAAGCGATTCATCTTTCCTTATTCCTTTCATTAATCCCCATTCCCAATCTTTCATAACATTAACAATTACTTAGGAAAATAATCTCACTAAGCCCGATACTCTCTTCCACTTCCTATACATACACAGATGTACCTTTTCAAAACATGTTTATCGTTAAAACATTCATTCTCCTTCACACTTTCCAAAAGACAAAAAAAGACATTTTGGCTCATTTCCACTACTATCATACCTATACATGCATAACCTTGTAAAAATATAAATTTACAGCCCACCCACATGTATACAATCAATCAATGGAGTAACTCGGTTCTCCGAACTGGAACCAATCAAATCTATGATATTTTCAGTTACAACTAAACAACAACAATTCCACCTTGCTCAACTAGCTATGCGCTTAGTAAGCCAAAGATATACTGAAATAACTACAACCAACTTCACTCTACTAGCTATGTGCGTAGTAAGTCAAAATACCAGTTTACCAGGCGCTAGCTGGAAGGGTATGGTGCCTTCTATTATTAGCGCATACAGTTCTCCAGGCGCTAGCTGGAAGGTAACGGTACCTTTGATTATAAGCGCGGCATATAACGCCAACAACAACCATGCAACAAGGCATATCCAACATGTATAATGCATATACATAACCAACAAGAATCTAACAACGAGTTAAAGTAGATAAACACATAGGTGTAATGTATACACAACAATTCAACACAACCATGTCATCCTCCACCGATGACCAAGGACAAAACCTCTAGATGCATGTATATTGTACATCTATTAACAGACTCAAATATCATGAGATCATCAACTTATCACTAATACTAACATAGTAGTATAAGATACGACAATCCAACATTCATACTCATTTCAAAGTACCTTTCCCATTTCACAAAACCAACTCTCTTTATTGTTCAAAACCGGTTTTATTCCTTTTGTTTTTCACAAAATCACATCCAAGGACAATAAAGCCAAAGCTCATTTTAATCTACTACATTCATCTCCAAGCCATTCCAATTTAATTATACAAATTAAATCATAATCACTAAAATAGGATTTCCCTCCCCTTCTCCCAATATTGATAAAAAGGTTCAATCATCTACAACCAACAACAATGGCTTCATTCAAAACCCAAAATACCCAAGTATTTACCCAATGATCAAAACCCCTCTATTGAGTTATTAAACCAAATAAATATTAGGGTTTCCTCTCCTTACAACAACAACATGCTAATTAACACCCAATTAGCCCCAACACATCTAATGATAATAGATCTAAATCCAACAACTAACCCAAAGTTCAACCTCATGAATTTATACAAAAATCCAACATAAAATGGTTTTCATGCAATACAAAAATTACCACATGTCTATCTATAGACGTAGTATTGAAAAAGAACAAGGAGAATCCCTACCTCAAAGGAGAACTCAAAAGGAGATGATGACCCGAAATCAAAGTGCTCCAAATCCACAATTTTTCCGATTAAGACGAAGCCCTCGACACCCTCTACCTTTTTAACAAAGGACCTAGGATGGATTCATACTAGAAGGAGATGAAATCTAGAGAGATAATAAGTTTAGAGAGAGAGACTCTCGGCTGCCAGGGTTTCAAGAATGAAAGAGGGAGAAAAATGATCTTTTTCCCCGCTGCTGCCTACTGAAATACGATAGACTCGCTCGAGCGAAGACCTGCTCGCTCGAGCCAAGAATTCCAGTGTTCAGGTCCTAGTACCAGACGCAACGCTCGCTCGAGCGAAGCCACCCTGGCTCGACCCACCAGACACAAAACTCCACGCTCGCTCGAGCGACAAGCATCTCGCTCGAGCGAAGGACTAAAAACTTGGGCAGCAACCACCTGCTCCCAATCACACCCAACCTGGAACGAACAAGTCCAAAACATTCTATAACTCAAATTTAAAGAATTGAAGGACAGAAACAAGTTCAAAACAACAACCGAAATCCAGGGAACTAAGTCCGAACACTACAACCAAAGGAGAAAGAACCGGGATCGCTATAAAAAAATTCTAGATGTTCTTAAATATTTATAAATTTCTAGTAGATATGAGAAATTTTTATTTATTTTTCCAATAAACTAGATATTTCTAGTTACAATCTAGATTTTTTTTAACACAAAAATAATTTATATACTTTCACGGCTTGCAAAAATATGCCGTGAAATATTTATACTTAAGATGGCATGCATTTTATGTTATAACATATCATAATTTTACACAGCATGCATTAGTATGTAGTGAAAATTCTTACTAGAATTTTTTTTTAAAATTTATTTTCACTCTCAAAAAGTCATAATCTTATAAATCAATAAATGTTTTTCTAAATTTTTTTTTAGTAGATATGACAATTTTAGATGTACTACCTGTTTAAATAATAATAAAAAAACAATTCATGTTCTTAAATATTTATAAATTTCTAACAGATATGACAATTTTTTTATTTATAAAATCTAGTAGATATTCTATTTAAAATGTACAATTTTTTAATACAAAAATAATTTATAAACTTATACTTAAAATCTTTTTGTCTAAAATTTTTTACTTCAATTTTTATTTACTTATTAATATTGTTAAAGTTACACATTCTTTAGCTGTGTTTGGTTGCAATCTCAAACTATATTTCGACCCATACATTCACACTTCACATTTGGATACAATTTTCAAATCGTAATTCCTCCATACAATTCAAAATACATATCCACTTCCTGTTTTGATAGAGTTCTCCTTTCGTTTCTCCACTGTAAAAGCTTCCAACAGTACATCTCTGTATCTTTTGATATTCTTCATTTCTGAAAAGCTTCACGTGAAGGAAATTTAAAGCTGAACTTCTGAAAAGCTTCACCTCAAAGAAATTTAAAGCTGAACTTCACGAGTCATCTTCCTCTCTTTCAACGATCACAGGTGGAGATTCTTCACGGGTCGTATTACTCTGTGAACTGAGACCTTCGAATCTAAAGTATGTCTGTGAACCCCCTCTCCACCCATAAAATCGTAAGTACCAGCTCCCACAAATCAAGTAAGTTACAATTTGTGCATTATGGAAGATTCACTCTTCGAGCAACGAAACAACAAGAAGATCGAGGTGAACTACATCACAAATTTCTTTCAAATTTTAAATTACAACTCCCGGATTTCCTCAAAATTCCCCAAATTCATTCCCAATTTATGTGTGTCAGGCCAAATTTGTGAAGCGTATTCTCCAATCAAATGCATTGTGAAGAAGCGCACATCCACCCACTGTACTCACTCAGTCATCGGCGACAACTATTCCACTCCTGCTCTGGTACGTATATCCTTGAATGGATCTGCTAGTCATATATCATTCAATCTTTCATATATCCTTCAATGGATCTATTAGTCATATATCCTTCAATCCTTTACTCGATCTGGTATATACTAGCTGAGAAGGGGAAATGTTCTATCAAATCGGTCAACCGCCAGGACAACCAGCCGGTCGTCCCATTGGATTTTTGGCCGGTCGACCGTTAGCCCAACCCCCTCTCCTCTTAGTCGACCGATAGTACCCTTTTCTGCTTCTCTTCTTCTTCTGGTCTCTTTCTAGTTATTTGTGCTTATTGTCTACTGTCTACACTTCTCTCATAAACTTTTTTGCAAATAATATTATGCTTTTTCTTGTTATATAACACTGTTAACAGTTCAATTGATATATTTTTTTTCCTAGTAATATTCTGCTTTTTCATCTTATATCTAGTTTTCCCAACACTGTTAACAACTTCAATTGATGAACTTTCTTTCCTACGAAACATAATTGGAGATGATTCTTGCATTTTTAATTTTTAATATCCAATTCAGGTTAGTTTAGATATAAATTGTGTGTTGTTAGATGGATGGCAACAATTCTGATGACAATCAGGACACAAGAATATGGAGTTCCAAATAGAAATGAAGGTAATAAATATGTTGAAAGACGAGGTACAAAAAAATCAAACAACAGGTCATAGTACTGTGTGGACAATTAGGCAAAAAAAAAAAAAAACAACAACAACAACAGGCCGTAGTACTGTTTGGACAGTTAGGCATTAGACTCATTTTGCAACTGAGTTGCAAAATTTGTACAAATTTTGATACACCAAAACAGGTACGACAAAAATATCAACGATTGAAAGCTGATTACCAAACCTTCAAGCGATTGCAGGCATAGACCGGTTTGGGATGGGATCCTATTGTAGGAGCGGTTGTTGCACCCTATGAATTTTGGGATAAGGTATTCAATTAATCTACACCCTTTTCAATTTTTTTTGTAACATTTTATAACACATATAGAACGCTTATTTTTAATATGTTCAATTGCTGTAGGCAACAAAAAAAATGTTAAGAAATTTAGGACAAAAGGATTTGAGTATTTTCAAGAAATGGGCGAAATTGTTGAAAACTGTTGTGCCACAGGGGCCTTGGCCCGTGCATACACAAGAAGCCCCTGACTCTGATGAAGAGGATGAAATGCTTAATAAATTTTAGTCTCCTGGAGCTGGTGGGAGTAATGCGGCCGAACCTATTACTGTTGACTTATTCGGCGATGAGTACATAGAACCATCGAAGGGAAAAAGTCACAAGAAGGGCCTTACAACTAGCTAGACTGATAGTGGTCGTTCTAAAAGGTCACGATCAAGTGGCTTTGATGATGTATGCGCAACTTTCACTACCTATGTACAGGCAAAAACGGAACATTCCCGTGCCTGGTCAACAGACACAGAGGCTGTAAGTGCATGTGGCGATGACTATTCTCTTGATGCATGTCAAGATGCCCTGTTAGAGCTTGGGAACATACCACTGGTCCAGTACATTAGGGCTCTGACACTATTAAAAGACAAGGAATGGCGGAGGTTTTTTATACGTACTCCTGCCCATATGCGCCTAGTTATGATTCTAGCTTGGCAGTGAAGAGAGAAGTTGTGGCTTGATCAAGCTTGCGGTTCTCGTTGTGGCTGTCCAACATGCTTTGATGATGTCTATGTTGTTCTTCTTTTTTTTTTTTCACCTGATGACATGCTCTTTTTTTCTGTCGTTCTCTGTTTATTTCTATAATTTTTAATTAATTGTTTCTGTTTTACATAATAATATTTGATGATGTATGCTTTCTTATTTCTGCTTCAACTTTCAATTTTACACAGAGCATACAACATGAAAGGTAGTAATGACAATATGACTAAATATTAACATGTTTTTTTCTTAGCATGTACGTTTCCATCTACTTCGATAAATAACTAAGGCCGTCAAATTGTAGGCAGTGATTTATTTTAATTTCACCAATAATGGTAATAGTTAGCATGTTGTTAATAATTTTTTTTTTATAATAATGCGTTATTGTCATGTAGCCGAAACATAAATAGTTTTGCATAACAGATCTGAAGGAACCTTTGAAATTTATAAATTAATTGAATGGGAAATTAATTGAGGTAGGTGGTGGAGGAGGTGGTTGTCTAGTTCGGGTATTGACGATATTTTGATATAAAGAGCAACGAAGATGGTGACAGTTGTGAAGCAAGAAGTTGCTGGAATGAAGATGGTGTTGCTGAAAGTTTTGAAGTGAATTGTTGGTTAGGAGAGTGATATAAAGAGCTTCGGTTAAATGGTCAAAAATATACTGAGTTTTGGGTTTTTTTTATTATTTATTTTAAAATAACATCCAAAGCTAACCAATTATTTTGGCTTCTTTTTTTCTTTTATCAAAGGTGACCAAATTTTGTAGAGGCCTGATGGATCTACAGAAATGAGTGAACGTGTTGTCCTTTTTATTTATTTCCAACGTATGAATTTATTATTTATTGAATGAGGGGTAATGTGCTAATTTCAATGCCAAACCCATCACACACTACCATTATTGATGGTACTTCACTTCACGGGTCTTTGTTTCACTTCGCGGGTCATGTGCAGTAAGAAATGGAAAGGTGAGTACAATAATGAAGGTGGAAATAATGGTATAGGTTTACAGATTTATTTATTTATTTATAAAAGTGATAAAATTTAATAAATAAATAAATGTTTAGGTAATTTTTGGTAACGGTTATATTTTTGGTTTTTATTTACAAAAATGTTATTAATTATGTTTTATTTATTTTTTAAAAAATACCCAATAGACGCGTTTGGTTTGAACATAATATTTATTGTCTAAATTTAATACACATAAACAAAAAATATGTTTATTCAGGTCAAAAGTATTTATATTTATCTTTTATTATTTTCTGACAATGGGATCATACACATTATAATTGAAAAAAGATTATTATAAAAAAATTGGGAAGAAATTAATTCCAAAAAAAAATAATTGAAAAAGAAAATAAACTGAAAAACATTAATTGAAAAAATAAATGAATTGAAATAAAATATTTGCAATAAAAATTATTTCGGAAAAAAAGTAATCGAAAAAAAAATTGAAATAAACATTAATTGGAAAACAAATTAATTTAAAAAAAAAAATTTATTTGGAAAACAAATTATTTGAAAAACCAAATTAATTGAAAAAAAATTATTTCAAAAAAAAAAATAATTGAAAAAAAGTTATTAATTCATTTTCTGAATTGAATTGTAAAAAAAGTTTGGTTATGAATGTTGATCAATAATTTCAATTGAGTTATGAGTTGTGTGTTTGATTATAATTTATAACTTTTTGAATTAAATTTTGAAAACTCAAAAAAATTCATAACCAAACAAATTTTCTTACTGCATATGTCACATCAAACTTTCAAAACTCATTTCAACACTCTATTCAAAAACTATAACCAAACAATTTTTCTACACTTAAATCATAATTCTAAAACTCATAAACTCAAAATACAATTCCTACTCTCAAATCATATTTACAAAACTCTACCAAACGCTACCTAATATCCTCACACCCCCGCTCAAACTCAAGATGTTTTAGCAGAAAACATTGAGAGTTTGCCAAGAAGAAACTGAAACCGAGCAGTGGTGTGAGTCTTGGTGAAGAAGTCAGCAAGTTGCAGAGCTGAAGAGATGAAAGGAAGGGAAATAGAGCCAGTCTGCAGATGCTGACGAACAAAGTGACAATCAATCTCAATATGCTTCGTCCGCTCATGGAAGACAGTGTTATGGGCAATCTGAATAGCACTGCGGTTGTCACAATAGAGAGAGGTTGGAGAAGACTGAGGTACACCCAAATAAGATAGAAGACAATGAAGCCAAACAATCTCAGTAGTAGCATGAGCCATAGCATGGTACTTAGCTTCGGCAGTGCAGCGAGCAACAACAGTTTGTTTATTGCTTTTTTAAGAGATCAATGAATCGCCAAGAAACGTAGACTTGCAATCAGTGACATCACCAGCCCAATCAGAATAGACATAAGCCACTAAGTCTAAAGTGAAAGTAGAAGACAATAGTAAGCCCTAAAATATAGTATCCCGAAGATAGCGAAGAATCCGAACCAAAGCAGCTCAATGTGTAGAACGAGGAGCTTAAACAAACTAGCTAACCACATGAACAATATAGGCAAGATCAAGATGAGTAACCATCAAATAGACTAAGCAACCCACTAGCTCTCGATAGAAAGTAGGATCATCTAGAGGAACACCATCAGTAGTGTTGCGCTTTACATTAAGTTCAATGGGGGTATTAGAAAGCTCAGTGTTGGTAAGACCTACTCGATAAATAATCTCATTGGCATACTTGGCTTGAGACAAAAAGTAGCCATTGGGGGAAGAAGCAACCTAAATATCAAGAAAATACCTCAATGGGCCCAGATCCTTCATTTCAAAGGTACGAAAGAGATACTGCTTGACCTCAGAGATAGCAGAACAGTCAGAGCCAGTGATGATCATATCATCTACATAAAAGTAATAGGGCAACAAAACCAGTAGATGTGTGAAGAAGAAACAAAGCAGAGTCATGGGCACAAGGATGAATCGCAAGCTTAGCAACAATTGTCTAAAAACGATCATATCAAGCACGGGGAGATTGTTTCAAGCCATACAGAGCACGCCAAAGGCGACAAACCTGTCCAGAGGAATGAGGAAAGCTAAGGGGAGGACGCATATAAGCCTCAGTGAGATGGCTATTAAGAAAAACATTCTTAACATCCATTTGATAAAGAAGCTAATGACGAACAGTAGCAACAAAGATCAAAGTACGGATAATAGTCATTTTGGCAACACGGGCAAATATCTCCTCATAATCAATACCACACTCTTGTGAGAAACATTTTGCAACCAAGCGAGCTTTGTAGCACTCGAGAGAACCATCAGAATGAGTCTTGACTTGATAAACCCATTTGCAACCAACCAGATTCTTGCCAGCAGGCAAAGGAACCAGCTTCCAAGTAGTAGTCTTCTGCAAGGCAGACAACTCATCCTCCATAACTCTAATCCAATTAGGATCCTGACAGGCTTTCTTGTAAGACTAGGTTCTAAAAAAGAATGAATAACAGACAAAAAGTTACAAGATGAAGGAGAACATCTTTTAGCAAAACCAAGTTTGTCTACCTGTTTATAGATGCGAAGGGGATACATACGGTTGGCAAGATCAGAATCGTCAGAGGCAGGAGGATCAACAGTAGGGGTAGAGACGACCGGTGAAGGGACTGCCTTGTGACGGGAATAGACTAACAACGGAGGAGGAGACAGAGATGGAGCCAGAGGGGAAAGGGAAGGATAAAAAGAAGAGGGAGCAGACTCGTGGGGATCAGTGGAGAGGGACTCAGCAGGAGGGGTAGTAGAGGGAACAACCTCATAGGAAACAGTAGAGATGTACTCATCCGAAGGGACTTCAGAAGGAAATGGATCAATGTAAACCAAATCCTCTTTGGAAACTGGAGCGGTGATAGGGGGAAGTTGAAAGTAAGACAGACGTTAAGAAAGGCAACATGGCGGGAGACATAAAGGCGACGAGTAATAGGGTCATAACAGCGATAGCCTTTCTGGATAAGACTGTAGCCTAAAAAGACACAGAATAGACTGGGTACTAAGTTTGGTTCTATCTTTACAGGGAAGAAGGACAAAACAAGTAGACCTAAAAACACACAGGAACACGCATGAGGGAGTAATTGGGAAGTTGGAAGAACAGAGCCTCATAAGGAGAACTACCAGAGAGTAAGGGAGTAGGCATACAGTTTAGAAGAAAAGTAGCAGTGAGAATTGCTTCACCCCAAAAATGAGCCGAAACAGAGGCAGAGAGAAGGAGAGACCTAGTTGTTTTAAGGAGATGATGGTCTTTGCGCTCAACGTGACCATTTTGGGCGGGTGTATCAGTACAAGAGGTTTGATGAATGGTACCTAAGGTGGCCAAATACTCACAGAACTCAGTTTTAAAATATTTCCCATCCAAGTCAGATCATAACAATTTAATGGTAGCCCTAAACTGTGTAGTGATTATAGACTGAAATGTATGATATATTTGATAGAAGTCAGATTTATGAATCATAAGATAAACCTAAGTATAAGGGGTGGAATCATTAACAACAGACACATAGTATGCAGAACCCCTCTAGTGAAAATATGAGAGGATCCCCAGACATCAGTATGTACAAGGGAAAATGGAGAAACAAAAGTACTTTTATTAAATGGTAAAGTTGACATTTTAGCAAGTTTACACCCTCAACATTCACCAATTTGACTAGGAGAAACTTTACCCAATAATCCTGACTGAGCTAAAGACCGTAAGCGATCAACAGACAAATAACCTAAGCGAGAACGCCATAAATAAAACTGACTCAATTGAAAATCTAACTGAAACGAGAAAAAGGCAACTGGAGAGGTGGATAGAAGAAGATGCAAGCTTTCTACCACATAGAGATCTCCAACTCTACGGTTGGTCCCAATCTGCTTCTTGGACACCCGATCCTGTACATAACAGACAAAAGAGGAAAATATAACATCAAAACCAGAAGCATCAAGTTGACTGATAGATAATAAACTAACAGATAGGTGAGGAACGTAAAGAACAGAAGGAATAGTAACAACAGCTATGGCAAATGATAAGATAGACCCAATAGATGGAACATGCATACCAAACCCATTATCAATATTAACAATAATATGAGAGGGAAAGCGGATACAATTTTGAAGTAAGGAAAGGTGAGGAGTTATATGATGAGAGGCACCAGAATC